GGATTGGGTGTTTTATCCAAGTGGAAATTGCACTTCAGCCCCTCCAATTTTGAAGGGCCTTGTTTTGTTAATTTCAGTTTTCAATTAGAACAAACAAGTCCCTTAATTTTGCTCAGTGACCATTTTTGAAAGTGAGTGTAAGTTGAGTGACCGTTAGTGCAATTTTGTAACTTCAGTAACCATTTTATTATTTTGCTGTAACTTCAGTGACCATTTGTGAAATTAACCCATTCAAAAATTGTCTCAAAAAATAAAAAATAATTTCTAATTTTTTATATCACAAACATTATTAAGTATTCAAGTTTCAAACATCTTATGGAACAATTAAGCCATTATTTGACAATCATTAAAATAATTTTTTTTAAAATGACTTCTAGAATAATAATTTGACGAAGAATGTGATGTTAAAAGGTAGAAGAAAAATTGAGTTACGTACAGAGTATGTTTGATTCCCATTATATCAAAAATACATTTTTCTCTATATTCTTTTCAATCATATATTTTTCAATAAAATATTATTACAAGTAAACCTAAAATTTTTCCTTATTTCTTAATAACACATTCTCCATCACTCCTATACTCAAAAATTCACTATTAGCCAAGCTCAAACAAGGGTAAAATAATTTATTATAAAATGTGTGGATGTAAATGAGTTTGCAAAAAAAAAAAAATATTTGAATGGGGTCAAATAGGGACTAACTTATATTTTTATAAACATGGATTAAATCAACTACTTAGACTAAAACTTTTTTCATTTATCTCAGTTTATATTTTAAATTTAGGGGTGTATTCAATTGGAACTTTTGAAGACTTTTTATGGACTTCCGAACTTCGTGGACTTTTTATATATTTGTTTCAGTTTCAATTTCACCGTGGACTTTTCATCAATTGTTTTATTTGTCTGTAATATCCTACCATTCAAGATTCTATTCGTGTAACCCTTGTTTATACAAAACTAATGTCGATAACATAAGCATGTGCTTCAGATCAATGAGAAAGGGCAACTCCAGTTGAGCCATCGTGCATTATTTTCATATCCCAACCCAGAGAAGCGGAACACGAAGCAACATACAGGTAAACTTGTCAAGGAATGTACGATTACACAGAAAAACTTCGAGTGATTCAAAGGATTCTACAGAAATTGAAAATGCTGAACCAACCGAGGAGAAAAGTCCAACTATTGAAGTAAGCCAGCAGAGGCTAATGCAAAAGCACAACATAGGGATAGAAAGCATGCCATCCATACCTGTTGAAGGGACATCGTCAGTGCACTTCCGAGAAATATAACAATAAACCCGCAATAAGATATCTTGCCATGCCACATGGGTAAGGGAGTTCTCTAGGTCCGTGACAATGTGCTTCAGATCAATGAGAAAGGGCAACTCCAGTTGAGCCATCGTGCATTATTTTCATATCCGAACCCAGAGAAGCGGAACACGAAGCAACGTACAGGTAAACTTGTCAAGGAATGTACGATTACACAGAAAAGCTCTTGAGAAGGGTAAGCAGAATAAAACTTCGAGTGATTCAAAGGATTCTATAGAAATTGAAAATGCTGAACCAACCGAGGAGAAAAGTCCAACTATTGAACTCACAATTTCGTCCAAAAGTAAGCCAGCAGAGGCTAATGCACCCACAGAGTATAAGCTTGTCAGAAAATACAATTCATTCAACGGACGGACCTTTTTGCATAGGCTTTGTGATCTTTTTGCGCCTTTTTGTGTAATCAGCATATAGAAAAGATTTTAGCTTTGACAGATTTTTAGTATCAATGCATTTTTAAAAGGTTGAACCCCAATCTTGAGGGTCCCCGCCCCGCCGAAGAAAATGACTGGATGTGCCTCAACAGACCAGGGTACAAGAGCTACCATACTTGTACCCATAAAGAGTCCAATTTCATACCTAGTATCAATGCATTTTAGCTCTCCCAGAAAGTCTCCAACGAGCATCACCAATACACAATTATAACTAAAATTGGAGTTTTATTTTTCTGCTTCATCACTATATATATAAACTTGGCTCGAGCGCTTTCTCCTTCATATGGAACATTGGAGGCATGTACTAAGAGAATAATGCTACCAATTGTACGCTAGCAAGCTCAGGGAAAATCTGTTATTTAATTAAAAGAAATGCGGTTTATAATTTATTTGCGAGGGAATTATATTGAAAATTTCCCGATACTAAAACATGAAGATAATTTCTCCAAGAATGAGATGAAGTCAGGACCAAATAAAGGGAAAAAAAGAAAAATCTAGAGCGAGGATTAAAATTGGAATTGCATCTCCGAGGTATATCCAAGAGCTTCTAAATGAGCAGCCATGGCCTTGTTCATAGGAGGTGGCCCACATCTCAGTATCTGCAGAAAATGAAAATGTTGATCAGTTTGTCGTGTTTTTACATCGTTTTTGATACTAATGAACACGAGAAAAGTAAAATGGAGATTGTGATAACGCTCATAACAAGCGAAGGATTGCAATGGCGTAGAATCCGTAACCTGAATATCAGATGCTGGTGCAGGGCAGTGAGCTTGAATCATTTCCTTGGATACGAACCCGACACCACCATTCCACACCTCAGGAGGCTATGCAGAATTAGACAACAAACGAGGATTATTAAGGTAATGAAACTTGTTAAGCGTAATTACAAACATAATTATGTCAATGCCTTGTTACCATCTTATAACGCAATAAGAATCTTAATCCTGAAACGATAAAATAGTTTAAGAAGGCACAAGATAAGTAAATGCGTGATTTTATCAAACATCAGTTCTTTAAAGCAGCTACAAACTTATCTACATCATGAGGCCGTTTGTATTGATCACACCAGAGAATATTTAAGTTTTTCCATTAATTTTATGCTAGGCAAATCAAATGCCCGACTAATACGAAATATAAAATAAACCATCCATCATTTTCATGTATGTCAAAATTTACCATTTTTAATGCTACAAACTCATGAGGCTGTTTGTAATGATTGCTCCATAGAATATTCAAGTTTTTCCCTCAATTCAAGAAATAGAAAATGAACCCTCTATCATTTTTATGCATGTCAAATTTACCAATTTTAACGCAAAATCGAATAATGCTTTCTATCAGCATTGCTTACCCATAAGCAATGACATGCCCCTTTTAGATGGCTTTAATTGATTTGTTATCTCTTAAATGTAGGATTTAAGATGACAAATCAATTAAATCTACATCACTGCTTATGGGTAAACAGTGCTAATGAATAACATTAGAGCATCTTTAAAAAGCTCTTTAAATATAAAATGCTCTTTATTGTATAGAGTCAATGTTTAAAAATATTATTTGAATTGATTGGCCATTGAAATAAAAGATGAGGAGAAATCAATAAATAATAAATCAATATATGTTAAATAAAAGATGATGAGAAATCCATAAATGTTTCTTGAAAAAAGCAAAATGATAAGCCAAAATAGAGAACATTGTTGGAGTGTATAAAAAATTTTACTCTCTAAATTTGAAGATGCTCTTTAAAAATACACAATCTCTTGGAGGTGCTCGTACTCTAATAAATCTATAGGGTATCTCATAATTCAGCTGTATATCATCCAATGCACAACCCCTGCTATTCTTTCCAATGCATACACAATAGAACTAGTCCAGAACTGAAATGCATTGTCAATTAGTTCCTACGTATTTTACATATTATCATTCATTTTTTCGAGATTTTTTCCCTATCAACCTTTCACAGTTTTCCCCCATTGCTACTAAAAATCATCCTCTATAAAGACAGTTTGGACCTGAGTTTTTTTGGCTTTAACTTTCCTTTCTACAACTAGATCAAATTAAGCCTTATTCCCAATAAATTCGGGGTTAGGTTATATTAACTCTTTTGAAAGAAAAGCAGAACTTATCGTAGCCACAGAGTATTTGCTTCAGATTTCCTCATTTAAAAGAAAAAGAAGAATAACATAATTCAAGTAAATGAAACATTGACAAGTATGGCTGATACAACTACCCATTTACCCTGAATGCTTAAATCTAGACCAAATAAATATATGTGAAATATACACCACGTTAAGTTAAACAAAGATAAAAAAGAACTAACCTGATTCAGTACATAGTAAATCTTAAATTGACCAGGGTAATTAGTAGCAAGGCTATCCAATTCTTCCTGCAATCAAACGTAAATATAACAAATCATAATCACCGAAAAGTTTAAAAATCTTCAAGCATCGTCGTTCTTACTACCATTATATATGATAAATTGATCGCTAAATCTAATATTAAGTCAGTTAAGCAACCAGGCATCTTTCCTGCAAGATTCTGTGAAAAAATTAACCAGCAATAGAACAACAGTGTTTTTTTTTCCTCCAGAGGAAAAACATTACCTTTGAAATACATCAAATGTCAAGTAGTATTCTTCGGTGTCCAACTGTATAAGTTTCAGTAAGGAAATCTGAATGCCCAGTCCCCACTGAAATTACAGTATTCTGCCAGTTTTGAGTAGATACTTAGGAAATCCTATTGAATCCCAGGATATTTTTGGCATATTCCTTTATATCCCTCTCAAGTAATAGACTAATTCTGGGTCTAGTTTACTTTCTACCTTCCATTAACAGTGAAATTTGCAGAAGTACAGCCTTCAAAGGAATATGTAGACGAAGTGAGATTAGAAATTACCTTTAGAAGAATGTCTTCAAATGTAACATTAGCGTATATCAGATGCACCATTGTTTTGTCAATTGGGCTTTCAAGAATAGCTCTAGCAACCTAATACAAAACAAAAAGGACACAATGAGATATGTTGACGTAAAAAAGCCTTTTGATTGACTCAATTCATGGCTTCTTTCCTAAGAGTAAAGATGAATCATCAAGAAATTGATGAGAAAGAAGTATTAAAGATATTCTTTAATGTATACCTGGAACATTGGCGTAATGCCAGAGCCTCCAGCAAGCATTCCAAATGCTCTCACTTGGCCAGGTTGATACTTAAAGCGACCCTAGTACAAAAAAGTTAACGTATAAGAGCAGCTTTCAAGCAGTAGAAATGTTGTACCAGTCAGGCATAAAAAAATTTAATCCAAGGTAATGCAATTTACTTAAAAAATATAAAATAAATAGCATGATTAACTAAGTATATACTGAATTAATTACAGCAGCTACTAAAGCAAGGAGGAAGTAAGTTACGTATTTTGAAAGGTAAGAAAAAAATTAACACATGTTTGTAAACAAGAAGTTACTTAAAAGTACCTTTTACTTATTTTCAAAAGTAGCCAAACATGCTCCCGCTCAATTAGCAGAATGCACGAAGCTATCAATTTGGGAGCGAATAAATGATCCCTATAACGACCCGACCTCGCGTCAGAGTCGTTACCATATCTTGCGTACTGTCCGTTTTGGGTTGTCCAATTGGTACTAGGATTCAACTTAAATCTCTCATATGATGGAGGTCTTGGGTTTGAATCCTGGAGAACGTGTCGAAAGCCGTGAGGGGTAAGGTGTGCATAGGCTCTCCCAAAGCGGACAGTACGTAAGATATGATAACGACTCTGGCGCGAGATTAGGTAGAAAATTTTATTTGTACTATATGCTACATTTTGGAAAGTTAGGGACTAAAGTGATATAAGTGATAATTCAATTTTATTTGGATCAAATATTAGATTTCAATAGAGTAAAAATAAGAATGTTAATATTTTACACGTTGGATAGATCGTAATTAATTATGAATTTTAAGATCGAGACAATTTTAATTCGGATAAGTTATATTCAACTCGTAATTAATTATGCATTTTAAGCTCGAGACAATATTAATTCGGATAAGTTAAAATCAAAATATTACAGGTTATAGAAGTTGTTAGTATTTTGATTATGGTTCAAATAAAATATTAAATTGTTAGGGGTGGTCACGTGTGGGGTGTTGGAAAAGTGGTGGTTTTGATTTGGTGGTTTTGATTTAAAATGATTTATTTGCTTTGATTTTGGGATATGAATAGGATAGGTTGCCACGTATCGATTGATAAGGAAGAAGAAATTGTTGATTGAATAGAATATTGGAATTGAGACTTTTTCCATACCCAAACCCAATTCATATTCTTGTAGTACACGTCTCCAACTCTTAACCCACCCCCACCCCCACCAAATGCTGTTAGACTAGGGATATTGGGATATGATTTTTATTATACATAAATTAGGTGAAAACACACGCATAGTGCACACGTTAGGGGAGAGGGGGAGAGAGAGGATGTGCTGCTTTTATTTTTGCACGCAGTCAAGAATAATTCTTCACGCGTAGATAGAGGGCCAAGGCAGACTGTTTTTATTATGTCTCACGCACTCAAGATTTGGACGAGTTATGAAACGTGCATTCATAATTTTTGTGAAAAGTTAGTTCATCTGACGAGGTAGGATTTCGAGGTGCGACTGGTTTGTCTCGTTTAAATTATTTCTTTGTGTTGATAAATATTATGCTTATGAAAGTTATGATATGATATGTTATGATATGATATGTTATGATATGAAATGGTCATCCGGTACCAAAAATATGATATTATGAGCTCTTACCGATTTCTAAAGATATGATATGACAGTATGATATTTTTGACGCATGATTTAATATTTTATTCGGGATTGCACCATTAATCGTGTCCTACTGAGTTTTTCCATATACTCACTCCTACTCATTACAAGTTTGTCCGGAACGAATGGAGTTGTGGCGGAATATTGATGCGGGCTGCCAAGCGGATCAAAGAAAAAGGCAAATAAGCATTTAGTATTTTTTTTTTTTTATGTTTTTAAATTTAATTGTCAAGGACTCGTTCGTGAATTAACCATTTGAGTATGTTTGAAATTTTTAGAAACTCGGATATTGTGTTTAATTGATATTTATTGTTAAAAATAAAGAATGTCTTTAATTTGTTTGGTTCCGCTTTTAACAAAAAGAAAAGTAGATTTTCGTAACACTCCAGATTGATGGAAATTTGGGGCTTTACAGTCCCTCACTAAATTGCAAACAGATCGGAAGCAAGAATAGTGGAAGATTGAATTTGATAAGTTAACATCTCTAGATCACAAAGGCTAATATGTAGAGATCTGTTTTCTCTTGAGTAATTTAAGCATGATATCACTGCATCTCAGAATCAATTACTGAAATTCATGGTTATGGATTGAGCTCGATAAGCTTAACATCTCCTGATAGAATTTTTTATTTTTTTATTTTTTAACATACGACATTACAGAGGCTAATGCATCTAGATTAATTTCAGTAAGAGTAGTTTGATGTTAATACAAATACACCTCAGAATGGATTACTGAAACTATCATGTACAAAAGAAAATGTGCAAATGTCTTCAATAAAATATTGCAGGTTAGTGTGCAGATTACTACACTCCGTGTTCTCTCAATATATTCTCATCTTAGAGAGAAATGTAGCAGTACATCCAGTTTAGAGGATCATAAATATAATTTTGAAGATATAAGTAGTTGTCGTTCAAGATTACAAATGATTTAGCTATTTTCAATACAAACCTTCACTTCAGGTTATGTAACTACTATCTAAATAACCATCGTGCATAAGCATGAAACCAAAATAGGGGAAAAGAAGTGATAGAAAAGAATTCAACTTGATTTTATCCTGTATTTCTTTTCATATTGTTGACATTGACATAGCTTTTGCATGAACCTAAATAACATTTTTTTTCTTTCAGGGTTTGGGTACCAGTGCGGAAAAATAGATCCTATTGATGGAGTGAAGCATTAAGCATTGTAAGACACTTAAAACACAGAGAGAATATACCTTTGGTCCCTTTACAGCCAGATGGTCACCTACGCGCATTTCTCGGAAATGATGGGACATTCTTCCTTGTGGATACATCTAAAAATATGCAAAATCCATATCAGAGAATCAATCAAATGATACAAAAGGAGATGAAATACTTCACTAGCTCTATAGGTGGGGCAAAAAGAAACTTCAAATACTTACCTTTATAACTAACTCAAAGTATCCAACATCAGAGTCCAAGGTAGTTGGAGTGTATGGTTTAATGACCTCTTCACCTTGACTATCTTTACCCCTATACAATAATTCGTATAATATTAAACAGTATTCTTTAAATTTCCTTTTCACTGATAAGTATTAGAATAAATTATGTACTCATATGGATTGAAAACAGAAAATATAATGAGCAAAAGGCCAAGTCATTAAGTGAACCTGCAACTAATGTGCTGTCCAATAGGAAGTCCCAACACAGATGTGGGTGTAGGAAGTTCAAATCTGAATTTTGCCACATTATGGCTGAGCTGTGTTTTCTTCACAAGCTTAAACTCTTTAAAATTCTCGGGATCCAGGCACACTGTCAAGTATACACATTATATGAAACAAAGGTCAAGAATCTTCATATAACAATTGAACTATAAAGACTAATTTTTTATGCAAGAAAATAACGAACTGAACAGGAAACTCCATATAAAATGCTTATAAGCAAATAAAAATCAACATGTAGAATCCATAAACCATAGAGTAAGCAATGTATATATGAACATCAATTCTGTATATGCCAATATAAACTTTAATGGCATGCTTGATGTGCAACCTCCACATAATTCAACTATACAATAGACAAGATTTTAGCTTATTGTTCTTCTTGTTCAGCACTATCCAGCCCACTCACCAAACTTTGCCAAGAAAGATTGATTTTTTACGCCAGAATGGTAATCTATCCACATAAAAACAGTGCACATAATTTTATTTATTTATTTATTTTGATCGGTAAAAAAAAAGATTGATTACCATCCTTGATCTTCTTTAATAATGTTCAGCGTTTAGAAATATCAAGTCCACCTTACCTTTGATGTGTAAAAGATTGATTTTTATACTTAAAAAATGTAATCTACCTGCATAAAAAAACTGCCCATAAACTCCATACAAATCAAAAGACACATAGAGGACAAATAACATCCATTACTGCAACGATATTCCTGAAAAATACATCCACAGACGTACAGAAACATAATATATCCAATGGGCATTTCATATTTATGTTTTAATAGAATAGATCATAATTATTGACCAACCTTTGGGTTTCTTGGAGGAAAAAATGAAATATGCAGAAGCACCAACAGCAACAAGGCCAACAGCAACACCCACAAATAATCGGCCTTCAGATGTTTGCAAGAAGTCCATAATGCAAGACAAGAACTGATTTTTGAGCAATAAAACTTAGTAAGAATTCTAAGAATGCTCAGTAGAGTAGTACTGAATCTTGATAAAATGAAAAAATGGGTTGGTATTAATTTCGTTGTTCAAATTGATTGATGATAAAAATTTCAAAAGCAAAATAATTGTTTATTTTTTTCTTACGGATACCAAACCTGACCAAAGAAGAGAATTCCAAGAGGAGTGGTCAAATAAGTCCGTGGACGCTCCCAACAAACTCCTTTTGCAGAGGAAAGAAAATGGGAAACAAATTGTAAATCTTAGTGTGGACAACTTTAGTAGGTAAAGAGAATGGTATCAGTAGTCGGACATCATTTTCTCACCTACCCCCCACTCCACCCGCCCCAGGTCAAATGCTGATGCCCCCGATTTTCTATGAGAAAAATGCAAGTGTACACAAGGAGCATATGTCCCTCACAAGGCTCCCCCTCTTGTGAGGGGGACGTGTATACGGGTCAACTCTAAGGCCCTGTTTGAAAGAGATTTTGATTTTTTTACAGTAAATCAATTCTCATTTTCAACCACACATTCTTCAATAAAATAATATTTTCCATCACATCAATAATTTTTTCTTCTTTTTCAACCACACATTTCCCATCATATCACTATTCAAAATNCACACATTTTTCAATAAAATAATATTTTCCATCACATCAATAATTTTTTCTTCTTTTTCAATCACACATTTCTCATCATATCACTATTCAAAATCAATTCTTCTCCCAAACAAGCTCTAAGTGTAGCAAAACTATTTCTATTATGGACCTAAAATCAACAATTCTCCTTTGTTTCTGTTGATCAAGAATTATTATTTTCGCAATTTTTAATCATACATTTTTTCATAAAATAATATTATACGTAAATTTAATTTTTTTATCTTTTAATTACACATTTTCAAAAAATCATTATTTCAAAATATATTTTCTCCCAAAATCACATTAAAATGGGGCCAAAACTAGTGTTAGTCTAATATTTTATAACTAATGATAGACGAATTATTTAAAGGGTTTTCTCAGTCGTATATAGTACGCCAAATTAAAAAAAATGGTAGTTTACAAGGCTACGTTACAATATAAAATATATATTTCTTTTGGTCTTCATATACTTCGGTTATTGGAACTTCAACAATCAACCTCCGGGTAAAAATTAAATTAGATGAATAATTAAAACAAATTCTTAATATTATGAGGAATGTGTGTGCAGCAGGCAACACAAGTAATAAAATATTTGAAAAACTAAGTAAACAAGTAAAATATTTGTAGATAAAAAGGACTATTTCAATCAGAAACCTAAATAAATAACTTTTTTTAATTTAATAAAATAGATAAATTATCATTTCCGCTCTGATTAAAATAGTGTAGTTAGAACGAGCGAACAATTCGTTGAGTTTGACCTTTTGTTATACCAACCCGACTAACTCCCAACCATATTTATTTATTCCTAGAAGTTATATTGAACTTTTCAACTTTTACGATTTAAATCTTGGATTTTTCCCTGCGTATAAGGAAATATGAACAGGCTACGATAGCAGCATCTGTATGGTGCCTTTTTTGGTTGATTTTGCAAAAAATAATAAAAAATGGCTAAGTTCCATCTGTAAGAATTCTGTTATATGTAGCATCACTCTTAAATTTTTAGATGACATGGAATCAAGGGCGAAGCCAGACATTCAAACTAGGGGGGTCCCGGAGTTGAAGGGGCGGGGGCTCACGGGGGTTCG